GTGCAGTAGAATGATCTTGGCTCACTGCAACCTCCGCCTCCCAGTTCAAGCTATTCTTGTGCCTCAGACTCCCAAGTAGCTGGGATCACAGGTGTGTGCCACCACACTTGGCTAATTTTGTATTTTTTGTAGAGATGGGGTTTCACCACGTTGGCCAGGCTGTTCTTGAACCCCTGGCCTCCACCGGCCTTGGCCTCCTAAAGTGCTGGGATTACGGGCATGGACCATCGTGTCTAGCCAATAAAACTTTTTTCGGTGAGTGATTCCAGCCCTTGATTCATAGGAGGGTAGGGTCTGTATGAGTGTAGCCTTAACTGATGAATCTGAAAGCTCTGGGTGATGTGAGTATGTGCCAGGTTCTTGGCTTGTATCTGCCTCTAGTACTTCAGGAACTTCCCAACTACATGGAACCAGTAAAAATGGGCTCTGCCAGGATGTACCTGTAACAGAGCCATTCAACCATACCCTTGTGCTGTCTGTCTTTAATCACGAAGATTATGAGCTAAGAATGTGGATGCATTTTTATTTTTTAAACATGTAGCAATTATCACTCAGATAGGCATCTTAAATCCATTTGTTTTGGTTGGATTTAAGACCGTTGTCATTCTTTATGAAAAGGAAGATAGTACAGATTGCTATTCAGAAGGCTGTGTCAGATGCATTCCAGAGACTGTTGATTGTGGTTCTAGGTAAAACTTTCTCAATCGTCCTTGAAGTACTTCAGTTTCAATGAGCACATATATGCATTTTGAAAAGTTAATTGGATAAAAATATCAATGGATAAAAATATCGATGGATAAAATACTCCCTAGTATGCTTTCATTTGCTAAATTATTTCACAGCAACAGGCTCAAATTTGTTCTTTGTGACATTTGTAGGAAAAATGACAGCAAATATTGTCCCTAGTTTATAGATGTGAAAGGACTTGCCTCAGTTCATACAGAAAATGTTTGAGGCAGGTCTTCTTTAATTGCATGCCCATCATACAGAATAGTGATTATAAGCCTCGGACACATGGATTTGAGTCCTAACTCTGTCTCTTAGATTTTTTAATGCAATTTTAGATCTTATGGCCAGAGAGATTTGAAGATATTTAATATCTCTAAGCTGCAATCTTTATCTGCAAACTGGGGTTAGTAAGCCAGTCAAGCTTCTGGGGGATATTGTAAGACAAAATGAGATGACAAATGTCAAAACTCAGAACTGTACTTAGAAGGTAAGCAGATAGAATATGCTGTTATTGTCATTGCTGTTTTCTCTCTGAATAAATAAACTCTTAGCTGAAGAGTTTATTAGATTATGTTTCCCGAATCGAGAATTCTCTTCCCGCTTTCATTTCTGGCACTGACATATTGGCCAAATATGATTCTTATACAATAATCAGCTGCTTTGCTGTGAGCCTTGGAAGTGGTCGTGCTGTTGTATGGCATTGCTTGTATTCCCTGTTCAGTTCTACAGTGGTGCAGATGTCATAGCCTGTGCCCAAAGGAAACATGGTGTTTAGCAAAGAGTCCCTGAATGGAGTTGCTCTTCTGCTTCACAGCCCTGAAGGATTAGAGACTGAGAGATCCTAATTAAGTTACTACAGACTTTTATTTGCTTGTAAGAGGTGGCCATGATTGCTCTCAGCTTTCCAACCTGGGCAGCCCTTCTAGTGGAAGTCTTACTTCCTTGGTCATCAACTGGCAAGTCTGAGTAACAACCTTTAATAACGAAGCTAAATGTGTGGGTTGTCCCCCTCTCCCTAGTATGCAGAGGTGTCCTTTGCACACACTCAAAACTTCTTAGACCAAAAGCCCTTATAGCTGTAGTTTTCCTTGAAGGAAATTGTATTGTCTATAGAGTACGTGGGCCATTTTCTTCCCATAAATTATTCGAATGTTCTCTGAGGATTTGTTCATTGCATCTGGTGGCATTTTGGTTCTCAGCGAGTAGACACCTAGCTGTGCTTCTAACGTGAAGTGTCTACTAGCCCCGTGGTCTCTGTTTTGGATTTGAACTTACTTCAGATGCCCACCTGATGCCTTACCATTTAATCATATTGTGATTCAACATTTTTGTTTCCACATTTCTTATTTCCTATGTTATTATTCCTTAGTTCCTATCTGTAACATCGTAAAGTACTTTGACCCAAACACAGTTAATATTTCACACATATGTTAAAAACTGAGGTGTGAGACTGGACATGGTGACTCACACCTGAAATCTCAGCACTCTGGGAGGCCAAGACGAAAGGATCACTTCAAGCCAGGAGTTCGAGACCAGCCTGGAAAACAAAGTGGGATCATGTCTCTAAAAAAGAGAATTAGCTGGGCTAAGTGGTGTAGTCCCTGATATTCTGGAGGATGAAGCAGGAGGATGACTTGAGCCCAGGAATTGCAGGCTACAGTGAGCTATGATAGTGCCACTGTACTCCAGCCTGGGTGACAGAGTGAGACTCTGTCTCCAAAAAAAGAAAAAAAAAAAGAAGAAAGAAAAAAAAATCGAAGTGCATGATGAGGAGATGAGGAAACCCAGGAAAATGCTCTTATTTTCTGCTTTTAGAAACCAAAAGAATGTCTCATTGTGGGCTGCTACCATTATATGCAGGACATTTTAGAATGAAAAAGATTCTGAATTGATCCTTGCTAACTTTATTTCAGAAAGTAGTAAAACAGTTGTGGCATACAGACCCAGTGAAGAGATTGTAGATGTCAGATGGGAAGAAGAACTACACGGTTTAATTCAAGTATGTGGAGATAAAAACTCAGGAGTAACAGGGCCAGGTGCAGTGGCTCACACCTGTAATGTCAGTGCTTTGGGAGGCCAAGGCGGGAGGATCACCTGAGGTCGGGAGTTCAAGACCAGCCTAACCAACATGGAGAAATGGTGGCGCATGCATATAATCCCAGCTACTCAGGAGGCTGAGGCAGGAGAATCGCTTGAACCCGGGAGGCGGCGGTTGCACTGAGTCGAGATCACGACATTGCACTCCAGCCTGGGCAACAAGAGTGAAACTCCATCTCAAAAAACAAACAGGCTGGGCGCAGTGGCTCACACCTGTAATCCTGGCACTTTGGGAGGCAGAGGTGGGCGGATCATGAGGTCAGGAGTTCAAGACCAGCCTGGCCAACATGGTGAAACCCTGTCTCTACTAAAAATACAAAAATTAGCTGGATGTGGTGGTGGGCGCCTATAATCCCCGCTACTTGGGAAGCTGAGGCAGGAAAATCTCTTGAACCCAGGAGGCAGAGGTTGCAGTGAGCCGAGATCATTCCATTGCACACCTCTCTGGGTGACAGAGCAGGACTCCATCTCGAGAG